ATTCTAATTCCCTCTAGGCTGCCAATAGGTGGTCTCTGCCACTTGCAGCTAGAGCAGAACATAATAGCTAGCATGCTTGTTCTCAAGAGTGAACAGCTGTGCTCATGTTATGCCCACCCTGTATTATGTAAAATGAAGTGATTTTGAGCTCAGGATGTTTAAGTTCCATAGCCCTTAAATGGGAAGCATTCTGGTGGGCTTTTCCACTCAATCACCACCTGCTGGTCAGCAGTTCTACCATCATGCCTCATGTCTTATGGATTTGCTACTATGTGGTGCCTCTAGTCACATGCTTCTCTGTTCCCTCCCCACTGTCCCTGTGAAGAGGGCACACTACACAGAAGTGTCCATAGAGTGTTCAGGTCTGTCAAAATTCTTCCTTAGCACACAGCCTGGTTACTCGCCATAGGCTTGTGCACTGGCGACAGAATTTGTTCCTTTGATACCTGTCTAAGTGACTGGTCTTGGTCCTTCGCGAGGAAACAGAAGCTCTTTGTGCAAGAAGCGAAGTGATTTAATAGAGCATTTTTTAAAAAGACCTGAATTTGTGAAGGAAAAAGAATTGCCATATCTCTCATGCAATTTTCTAAGGTGTTGGATTATAGGGCTTCCTTGGAAACCAACTCAAGGGTCGCACACTTCACAGCTTCTACAGACAGAGCACATTGCACCCACCAGGATCTCCTTGCATTCCTCCATTTCCTCCCCACCACCTTCCCAAAGTCCCTGTATGCCATTCTCTCATCCCCCTCTGATTCAGGGACTGCCTACAACTCCCACTCACTCTCTCATGCTAGTGGCTGTGTGTCTCCCCTTCCCCACTCCTTCCCATTCCAGGGGCTGTGTGCCCTCCTTCCCTCTCTACCATATGCCAGGGTTCCCCATTTTCTACCCCCATGGCAGGGGCTCTGTGTTCCTCCCTCACCTCCTTCCTCCCCATACTAGGGTCCCGCAATCTGCCCCTTCCAACAGGAGTTCTATGTGCCTTTCATTTCTGCCTCCCCTATATCAGGGACTCCCTTTCTCCCTTCACTATGGCAGGGGCTCCGTGTGCACCCCCATTGCCTTCCATACCAGAGTCCCCTAATCTTCCCTCTGCCAGGGATTCTGTGCTCCCCTCCCCCCATACCAAGGTTTCTATGTGTACCCCCATTCCCTCTTCCCTCCCTCCCAGGGGCTCTGCCCTCTATTCTCCCTTTTGCCCCCCAAGCTGGAGGCTCTGTGTGTCCCCAATCTCCCCCATCGCTCTATCAGGGTCCCCCAATCACCTTCCTGCCAGGGATTCTGTGTGCCCCATTCCCCCATGCTAGGGGCTGCGTGCACTCCCCATTTCCCCCAACCCTTACTGTTCTCTGTCTGGAAGATGTCATTCAGGGTGTCAACAGGTTAAACTCTATTGAGAAGATGGGCAGAGATGAGCTAAGGGTATTGTTATGCTGAAAGGTGTTAATGGCTGCCTTCAGACAGTTCTTTGATCTATAGACAATGGCAGAGGCACTTCAAACTGTGGATCTGCTAACCAGAGGAAAGGGCAACCTGTGCCTCTCATTTCCTGATTTCTCCCCAAAATTTATAGGGTTCTTCCCACTGATGCCTAGAATGTTCCCTGATATTTTTTGGAATTGATCAGATACAGCATTCAAAGGTTACCATGGAACATACAAACAGACAGAGAGAGAAATCCCAGCAACTTGAGCATTAGGCCTTTGAAAACTCAGCCAATTATTCTAAGTTCATAAAACTATTTTACAGATTTGTTGTTGGTATATTTAGCTGTCAGTTTATCTTACGAATTTAAGAACCTGACTGTGCCTTTAAGACACAGGCCAGGACTAAGTGGTGCAGAGTGACCTCTCTCCTGAGGAAGCTCCAGAGGAGATTGTCTCTCAGGAGACACAGTCCCTGCCAAAGCTATGTAGCATGCAAGCTGTGCTTTCACTCTTTCAGGGAGGAACTTTTTGTTCTGTGTTTGTACAGCACCTAGCACAATGGGGTCCTGGTCCATGATTGGAGATCATTGGCACTCCAGTAATACTATTACTACAAATAATAATCCATTTGGATGCAGACCATAGGCGTTGAGTTTTACTTTTCCCCGGGGGGTGCTCCATCCAAGCTCTGGCACAAGGCCCCGCCCCCACTCCACCCCTCCCCCAAAGTCCCTCTCTGCCTCTTCCTACTCCTGCTCCACCCCCTCCCTGAGGCCACTGCTCTCTGCCCTCTCATAAGCCCCTCCCTGAGCTGCAAAACAGCTGTGGCTGGGTGAGTGCTGAGCACCCACTTTTTTTTTTTTTTTTTTTTGTGAGTGCTCTAGCCACAGAGACAGCGCCTATGATGCAGACTGCCCCTCCTGGCCAACTCTACTGGTTGGGATATGGGGCCTTGACTACACTTTTCCCCCCTACCATCTTTGGGATAATTTGTGCCCAAGTAGGGGAATGCAGAGAAAAGTTCCTGCCTTTCCCTGGGCACAGGGGCTGTGATTATCCCTGGCCTTTGCATAGGGTGTACCGAGGTTGGGCTTAACGAAGACTCTGTGAGCTGGCCCCCCACCCCCAACATAACTTTCATGAGAGCTAGGAACACCCTTATGTTTTAAGAGGTTTTACAAAACGCATGGCATTAGGAGAGGTTATTACATAAAGTTTCAGTTCCATCAGTGATTGGCTTTGTTTAGATTAAAGCAGTTCAGCTCAATTTTCTTCCCTTTTTTCCCCCCACTTGCTACTAGAAAAGCAGGAGAGAATTGGCAAGGGGAGGAGAAGGAAAAACAACAAATGTTTTTCTTTCCCAATTTTGTTAGAAAAACAGAAAATTTTAAATCAATCCAGAAAGGCCCTTTTCAATACAACCAGCTCTAACGGCCACCCCTTAGATAGCCAGCTCTAAGTGGGTATAGGATGGGAGCTTCCTTGAATGGCTGTATAAGGGCTAATCACCAACAAGACCATTATTTTTGTTGAAAGAATTCCTTTTAATAAATAGAAAGCCCATAGTAACAGAAGCAATGTCAGCCCCAACCTAAACCACTTAAAGGTGAAAAAAAAAAAAAAAGATCATTTCATGAGATGTTTTAATTTACCTTTTTGTTAGCTGTGTTGGTCCCAGGATATTAGAGAAACAAGGCGGGTGAGGTAATATCTTCTATTGGACCAACTTCTGTTGGTGAAAGAGACAAGCTTTTGAGCTACACAGAACGTTTCTTCAGGTCTGCATAGCTTGAAAGCTTGTTGCTTTCACTAACAGAAGTTGGTCCAAATGAAGACATTACCTCCCCCACCTCCTCTCTTCTTAATTCAGTTTTGTAAGAAATACATTTTGAGCATTAGTTTTTAAATTGTAACCCCCTCATTATAGTTAGCTTTGTCATTAAATATTGCTGGTAAAATGGTATTTAGCGCAAAAAAAAATCTGTAAGAAAACTAACATTATACCTAGGAAAATGATTCATTGCCAATAATGACTGTCACCAACATGTTTCCTCCGACCATGCCAGCTCTCCTCTTCGGCAGGAATTGGAAGTGCCTAGCTAATAATATAGATTGGCCAAAACTGCCTTCAACATGGTCCTTGATCATCATCATTATCCTTTCCCTGTTGAAAATGTTTTCCTTTTGTTTCCTCACTCCCTCATCTACATTAAAACTAAACCATTTTCAATGGCTAGGAGAACTTATTGCAGCCAGCCATTGTCAGCAGTGGGTTATTGTCCTAGTGTGGAATGGGGCCTTAATGTTATATGCCTTTTAAACTTTTGCTGCAGAGCGCTGGGACTGGGTGAGATCAGAGAACGGGAATGATTTGCTATAGGGAACTATTCACATTAGCAGAAAGGTGGACTACATGATTTAACAAGTTTTTTTTCATTTTCTGACTTTGATTTGTCCTTGATAATATAAACAAAGTAGCAGAGAAGGAACAAAAAGAATGTTGAGGGCACAGTCAATAGGCTAAGACAAACAAATAAGGAAAATGAATTTAAAACCTAAGTGAGACATGTATAGGTTACTAAGCAAAGTGGACCAGATTCTGATTGCAGTAACAGTGATGTAAATCCAGAGTAACTCCATACTTTCAGTGGAGTAATTTTATGTTTCCGCAGGTGGAACCAAGGTCAGAATTTGGCCCATTGAATTCTAGTTTTTATAGCAAATGCCTAGGGGGGGAAACAAATCAACTGTGGTCTACCAATAGTTCTTGGGACTTTGTAAAGAGTTTGCTGTGTTTAGAAGACTGAGGGTTTGTCTTCACTACCAGCCCGATTGGCGGGCAGTGATCGATCCAGCGGGGATCAATTTATCGCATCTAGTCTAGACGCAATAAATCAATCCCCAAGCGCTCTCCCATCGACTCCTGTACTCCAGCTTGGCGAGAGGCGACGGGGGAGCGAAAGCAGTGAAGACACTATGGTAAGTAGATCTAAGTACGTCGACTTCAGCTACATTATTCATGTAGCTGAAGTTGCGTAACTTACATCGGAACCCCCCCCCACCACCAGCGTAGACCAGGCCATAGTTCTTTTTCCCCAGAGTCCAACATATGTTAAATTTAAATGTTTTGCCACAGGCTTTGGAAGTATCTGAATTACTCTTAATCAATTTTGAAATGTTTGCAACATATTATCTAAAGGCTTGTCTATATGGGAAAATTGACTGGAACAGACATTGTGGAGTAATTTTTATGGTAATGAACGGTGATTTTTTTTCCAGAATAATTACTCTGTTTTGGAAGCATACTAATTATTCCAGAATAAAGTGACTTTATTTCACAATATAGTGTCCACACAAGGAGCTATTCCAGAATAACTATTGCAGAATAATTTATTATGCAATAGCTATTCTGGTCAATTTCCCAATGTACACAAGCCCGTAGGTAAATGGTTCCCTTAACTATTCAATACAGACCTGATCCAAAGCCTGATAGAGTCAACAGAGAGACTTTACTGACTTCAGCGGTTATGGCTAAGTCCCATAGTTCAACTATAAAGATCGCTGTGACTAAGGTATCTTATTTAATGGAACTGAAATGTGCAAAGTAATTTGGCTCTTTTATCCTATTTTTGGCTTTCCAAATAAATGTGTTACAATGTAAAACAACAATGCTTTGGGGAAAAGTGGGGGTTGCTCATTTTGAAAACATAACACAGATCAGTGTGACCTTTATTCAAAGACAGAGAATATTCATCTCACTTTGGAAACTAAAACCTCTTCATTAATGGTTTAAAAGGCATCTATTTTCATGGCTGTACATCCTATTCTGAAAACAATAAGTTTAATAAAAATGAAATGTCAGAACTTGAATATTTTATTACTGAATACAAAAATACTATCTATGTAAAAAGAATAAGTTAGTTTATTTACAGTACTTTACACTATTCTGCTCTAGGAATTCCTTAGTAATGGATTTATTTGTATACATGCCTTTATAACTTTGCACAAAGCATCTCCAGCAGCATGTCATCCATGTTCACCGTTCCAATGATGGGCCTAAAGAATAGTTCAGCAATTACATTAGCATTAATGGATCTCAGCAAGGAAAGAACAACATTCAGCTTGGCAAATCTGGCCTGGTCCCCTCGATGAATCAGTCTGACGTGTTCATTTAGAGCTTGCTGTGCTTCCCGCTGCAGTCCCTGGATATACTGTACACACTGCAGCCCTGGCAGATCTGAAAGAAAAACAGGAAACTAAATGTCCGTTTACAAAGTTTTTATCTATAAAACAACTCATGGAAGTTGGCCATCCTGCAGCATGCCAGCTAATTGGTAACTCATAAACATCAATATTAAGTTTCTTAGATGAGGAACAAACCAAATGTAATTACCTTTCTGCATGAAAACGATTCAGCTAGAGATATTCTATCCAACATGCATGTAGATAGGCACAGATTTTAACAGTGCAATCCAAAAATCTCACCACGTTGCTGTTCTGGACATGCAGTGCTGCTCTTAGTTAAGCAACAACAAATTTAGATTGCAACAATATTTTCCAATATTCATGTTTTTTAAAAATGTAAAATTTGTAGGTGATAAAATATGGACAACCAGTATGGACTGTTGCCAGTAACTATCTTCAAGGTGCCAAATATACCATGTAAATAGTAAAGATAATAAAAGGAACAAGTTTGCTAATAACTTGTTGACCACTAGGAAATGCTCTATTCATATTAATGTGTCCTGCTGACAGCTACATTGGAACAAGCGTCAGATTGAAGATAAGCAAGTTAACTCCAAGATGTGACAGGATGTTTGCTTTCTAACTAAACAAAATAGGGGAGTGGAGTTGTTTGCAAGTTCAGTACCTTTCCTCTTGGTCTAAGTTTGACAAGCTTCTCGGCTCTCTGTGAGCTGAGGGGTGAAAACATTATCTACTATCTAAGCACAACAAGCTATTATATTTCAGGTAGGTTTTTAAAAATAAAAAACATATCTGACTTTGTGAGTTTTTAAACAAACTATGCATACATATATACAAGCTTTCCTCATTTAATCAAACCAGATTCTGTTTCTAAATCTTGAGATTTGTTAATTTTTTATTCTTTGGTAAGGTTTTCAATCAAGCACACTTTGATCCATTATTTCTTAACCGCAGTTATGAATTACCACCTGCTTATTTTAAGAAACCAAACCATAATGCTTACTGCATGGCTTGTGGTGCAGCAGTTGAATTTGCAAAGTTGCAAGTTCAGAAAGAAAAATACAGTGGCTATTGTCTATTACTATCACTAACCAACCTCCATGGATTAATTTTTTGTAACAAAGAAAGTGGGAAGACGGTGTAATCCTCAGAGGCAATTATTTAACACAAAATAAAAAGCACTCTAGCTAGTTCCTATTAGTCATGTATGATTGGACTGGAAAGACCCCTATCAAATGCCTGGATGAACAGGAAAGAGGAAAGATTTTCTACTAGGATGAAAGAGAAATAAATTTACACTTCCCACCTCAAGAGACAGGTCATTTAGTATCAGTGACTTTCAGACTCTAAGTAAACTGGACAAAACGCTCTCTACCTGAGCAGGACCCCACACCCGCACCTCCTATTCTTCCCCTCTCTCCCCAAGCATGCAAAGGGCTTGTCTACACTTAAAATGCTAAAGCAGCACAGCTGCTTCAATATAGACACTACCTTTGCTCATAGGAGGGGTTCCCCTCTTGCTCTAGTTAATTCACCTCCCTGAGATCCCATAGCTAGGTCTACAGAAGAATCACAGGGACTTAGGTTGGTTTATGGTCTATGCTGCTCAGAGGTGTGGATTTCTCACACCCTGGAGTGATGTAGTTAAGCCAAACTAATTTTCTAGTGTAGCCCAGGCCTAAGTTTTCTAATTGCTGGGAGGTTGGACCAGTAAGGGAAAAAGATAGTCTGCCATTCTTCTAGCATTGCCACCTCTGAGGTAGGGGAAAAAACAGGATCCCAGGCTGATCTGAGCCCATAAAATGCGACAGCTGGCAGTGCCTAAAATGGGACAACCCTGGACAGCTTCCTCCAAAAAGAACCAATCCTGGGCAAACTTGGCCAGGCGGCAGGTCTACCCTCCTCCCTTTCCTTCCACTGAATGCATGTAATGCAAAGCCCCCTTCAATAGAAAAAAAAAAGCTCCACCTTTCAAAAGTTTCCTCTTGACTAAAATCCTGTCAGCTTCTTCAATCAACCTCCCTCCAGTCCCGCTCTCTTCTCTACCCCACTAGGCAAGGAATCAAATGGGGGGATGCGCAGGAGGTGCAGCTGAGGGGAATCCCCTTCCCCAAGGCGGCGGCGGCACCCGCGGTTACTCACCCGGGTTGAAGAGCACAGTCCCCTTGAGGTAGGCGTACTCCTTGGTGCTGATGTCCAGGCTCCAGCACTTGGCCAGGAAGCCTTTGATGGCCTGGATCTCGCCGGCCGAGGGCAGCTGCGGGCTGCTGCTCTGGGGGTGCTGCTGCCCTTGCTGCTCCTGCCGCCGGTCGGTTAATATCCGCTGCAGCATGCTGGGCTCCGCGGTCTCCACCGTCTCGAAGTGCACCCGCTCCTGGGCCAGCCCCAGCACCAGCAGGGGAGCCCAGCAGCTGCGCACCAGCACCAGCTGCTCGTCCAGCGGCAGCTCCTGGAAGCAGGGCACGCTCTTGACGAAGCGCAGGGTCTTCACCAGCACGGCCGAGGCCGCCTTGCCCGCCACCTGCGGGCTGCGCAGGGCCACGCGCCGCCGCGAGCCGCACGAGCAGCCCGGCCCCGGAGGCTCCTGCGGCGGCTGCCGCGCTGCCTCCTTCTGCTCCTCGCTCTTCAGGATGCTGTAGAGGATGCTGCTGTGCCTCCGGCGCTCCGTGCAGCAGCGGCAGCCGGCCACGCACGCCATGGCGCCGGGGGGGAGGTTCCCCTCCTGCCTGCTGGGCTGAGCCAGACGGGGAGCTCCCGCTGCTTGTCCCTTAACTTATTTATACCGTGTGCGCGTGTGTGCAGCCGCGCTGTGGCTCAGCCGTGCCAGGGGGCAGACGCTCATTACTGGCTGAGAGAGAGAGAGAGAGAGAGAGAGAGAAATCCTCCTCCTCCTGCTGCTGCTCTCGCTCGCCTCCTCTGCTGCAACTGCGGTGGCTAGAGGGAGCCTGCGAGCTGCCGGCTCCAGGTCGCCCCTGGCTTCAGGGCTATATTCTCCGGCCCTACTCGCGGATCGCTTTCAGGTGTGTGGCGGGGGAGAGACGCAACATTTTACACCCGCTCCTCCCGCCTCCCCTTTCCGGCGGCGCTCTCTGAAGTGGGGCGAGGGGGCTGAGCTGCCACGCGCCTCTCCCCGGGAGCGCTGGACGCTGCCGCCTGCCTCTGCCCGCAGAGCGCTTGTTAAATCCGCAAGTTTGGGGAAGGGACCTTTGACTCCAGCGCCGCGCGGAACCTGAGCCCTGCGGCCACGTGTTGGCAGACAGGCAGTTTCGCACCCGAGAGTCCCCGCAGAGTTTTCCCCAATCTCTCTGCGGGAGGGGCCCGCGGGGCTCTTCCCCGGGGTAATAGTATGGGGCAGGCAGGGGTGGGAATTCCCTAAGGGAAAGGCAAGGCTGGGGGGAATTCCCAAAGGAGGGGGGCCATGGGGCACATAAATATAGGGTGTTACACTGGCACCAACTGGGAATTATATGATGGAAATGCCTCTGTTTATGCCAGACAGTCTTCATTTTTTACATTCTCAATGCTAAATTAACCTCAGGCTCTAGGCCAGCTTCCTTGAAGAAGGGGGTAAACAGGTGCAACCTCCCCTGCACTATGGGGTACAGAGGACAGCAGGGCTGGGAAGTGGCTGCATAGGCTCAGTAGTCTCTGCCAGCAGAGCTCCTATAACACACTGGGTGATTTAAAGATGCTATCCCCCAGTAGAAACCTTGAGGAAGAGAAGGGTAGCGGGTTGCATACCCCCAACTATCACAAAAAGGTGGATCAACTTGGTACAGGAAGTTGAATTTTCACTACCTTTCACCAGGTTTGGGTAAATCTGGACTTATGTATTTTATATACCTATTTCATCTTCCTATTGTGTTGTTTGCGTACCATCTGTCATCTTTAACAATTATGTCTTCCACAAACTCACCTTCTGCCATATTATTAAATCTGTTCAATGCCTTTTTTTGTTTCAATTTTCACCAGAAAGGTTAGCAGTGATCAGGCGACTAACATAATGAACATCGGTGTAAATGGGCTAGGATCTGAGGCTAAAATAGCGAAAGCACAAATTGAGAATTATTTAGACAATTTACATATCTTCAAGTCAGCAGGGCCTGACAAAATACATCCTAGAATACTTAAAGGATATACTGGCTGAAGAGATCTCTGAGCCAATAGCACTTATTTTTGAGAACTTGTGGAGGACAGGAGAGATCCCCAACTGTAGACCACTCAGCTTAACTTCAGTACCCGGAATGATAATGGAGCAAATCATCAATCAATTTGTAAGCGCCTAGACAATAAGTCAGCATAGATTTGTCAAGAATCAATCATGTCAAACCAACCTAATATCCTCGTTTGACAGGGTAACAAGCCTTGTGGATTGTGGGGAAGCTGTAGATCAGTGGTTCTTAAACTTTTGTACTGGTGACCCCCCCTTATAAATTAAAAACACTTTTTAATATATTTAACACCATTATATATGCTGGATGCAAAGCGGGGTTTGGGATGGAGGCTGACAGCTCACGACCCCCCATGTAATAACCTCGCGACCCCCTGAGGGGTCCTGACCCCCAGTTTGAGAACCCCTGCATATATCTCGACTTAGCAGTCTCAGATGACCTTCTGATAAACTAGGGAAATACAGCCTAGACAAACCTACTCTAAGGTGGGTGAACAACTGCTCAGGAAAGCCTACTCAACTACAATCAAGCTGGAAGGGCATATAGAGTGGGTTCCCACAGGGATCTGTCCTGAGTCTGATTCTATTCAATATTGTCATACATGATTTGGATAGTGGCCTAGAAAGTATACTTGTAAAGTTTGCAGCCGGTACCAAGCTGAGAGGGGTTGCAAGCACTTTGGAGGACAGGAATAGAATTCACAATGATCTTGACAAACTGGAGAAATGGTCTGAAACAAATAGGATGAAAGTCAACAAAGACAAATGTAAAATACTGCACTTATGAAAGAGATTCTCTGGGATGCTCCCAGTTCCACGCACAGGGCCAGTTAGGCAGAACTGCGGAGTCTCAATGAATGGTTGAGACGATAGTGTAGGGAGGAGGGGTTTAGATTTATTAGGAACTGTGGAAACTTTGGGGAAAGGGGGAGCCTATACAGGAAGGATGGGCTCCACCTAAACCAAAATGGAACCAGATTGCTGGTACTTAAAATTAAAAAGGTTGTAGAGCAGTTTTTAAACTAAGGGCTGGGGGAAAGCCGACAGTTGCGGAGGAGCACATGGTTCGGACATCCCTTAGGGGAGGATCTATTAATAGAGAATCTCTATGTCCTAGTGAAAACAAGAGAATGGAAAATGATAAAATACGCCAGGATCTGATCAGAAACAGTCAAATAAAAAAGATTCTCATTCAATTACATTGTGTAACGGCAGACAGCTAAAAGACAAGTTTTTAAAGTGCTTATATACCAATGCTAGAAGTCTAAATAATAAGATGGGTGAACTAGAGTGCCTCGTATTAAATGAGGATATTGATATAATAGGCATCACAGAAACTTGGTGGAATGAGGATAATCAATGGGATACAGTAATACCAGGATACAAAATATATCAGAAGGACAGAACAGGTCGTGCTGGTGGGGGAGTGGCACTATATGTGAAAGAAAGCATAGAATCAAATGAAGTAAAAATCATAAGTGAATCAGACTATACCATAGAATCTCTATGGATAGAAATTCCATGCTCTAATAATAAGAATATGGCAGTAGGGATATATTTCCAACCACCTGACCAGGCTGGTGATAGTGACTGTGAAATGCTCAGGGAGATTAGAGAGGCTATTAAAATAAAAAACTCAATAATAATAATGGGGGATTTCACTTATCCTCATATTGACTGCGTACATATCACCTCAGGTTGGGATACAGAGATAAAGTTTCTTGACACCTTAAATGACTGCTTCTTGGAGTAGCTGATCCTGGAATGCACCAGAGGAGAGGCAATTCTTGATTTAGTCCTAAGTGGAGCACAGGATCTGGTCCAAGAGGTGAATATAGCTGGAACGCTTGGTAATAGTGCCCATAATATAATTAAATTTAATATCCCTGTGGCAGGAAAAACATCACAGCGGCCCAACACTGTAACATTTAATTTCAGAAAGGGGAACTACACAAAAATTAGGAGGTTAGTTAAACAAATTAAAAGGGTACAATGCCAAAAGTGAAATCTCTGCAAGCTGTGTGGAAGCTTTTTAAAGACACCATAATAGAGGCTCAACTTAAATATATACCCCAAATTAAAAAACATAGAGAACCCAAAAAGAGCCACCGTGGCTAAACAACAAAGTAAAAGAAGCAATGAGAGGCTGTGATAAATGGGGGGGGGGTTAGTTCCCTTTTATGGACACCCAGCCAGTCAGTAGCCATAGAATCCTCCTTAGCAGCTGTACCCTAGTTGCCTTACCTGTAAAGGGTAAAGAGAAACTTAACCTGACCAGGGGAACCAATAGGGTGTCTGTACCCTTTCAAATTGGAAAACCTGCTGAGTGTGGGGTTTTTTCCTTTGTCTCTTGGGCTGGAGAGAGGGGAAGGCAGCAACAAGCTGTAAGCTTTAAGCCAGGTATGGAAAATCATCAGCATCATACCTAGAAACTCTTCATTTGGAACCCCAGATATGTAAGTAGCACAGGAAAAGTTAAAACAGATGCGATTTGGAACCTTTTTGGTTTGTGGATTCCTCTGTGCTAACCCCAGGTGCTTTTGTTTTAATTGTAACCTTTAAACTGAACCTCAAGAAAGTTATTTTTTGTGTTTAATCCCTAAAGCCTGAGTTTTCAGATGTGTTTGTTTCTTTTTTAATAACATTTATCTTTTTTTTAAAAGAATCCTTTGATTCCAAAGTCCTTAGACAAGGAGTTGGTCAGTGCTCACATTGATAAGGCAATTGGTTGGTATTTTATTCTCAAGCCTTCCCAGGAAAGGGGGTGAAGAGGCTTGGGGGGATAGGGATTCCAAGTGACCCTTCCCTGAATATTTGTGAAAATCACTTGGTGGTGGCAGCACTATCTGTCCAAGGCAGAAGATTGTTCCTTGGAAGAGTTTTAACCTAAGCTGGTAAAAGACAAGTTTAGGGGGTCTTTCATACGGGTCCCCACATCCGTTCCCCAGAGTTCAGATTTGGGGGTGTATACCCTGACAGAGGCAAAAAGGCATCCTTTAAAAAGTGGAAGTTAAATCCTAGAAAATAGAAAGGAGCAAAAACACTGGCAAATAAAGTGTAAAAATACAATTAGAAAGGCCAAAAAAGAATTTGAAAATAGTTAGCCAAAGACTCAAAAAGTAATAGCAATTTTTTTTTAAGTACATCAGAAGCAGGAAGCCTGCTAAACAACCAGTGGGGCCACTGGACAATCGAGGTGCTAAAGGAGCACTGAAGGATGATAAGGCCATTGCAGAGAAACTAAATGAATTCTTTGCATCAGTCTTCATTGCTGAGGATGTGAGGGAGATTCCCAAACCCGAGCCATTCTTTTTAGGTGACAAATCTAAGGAACTGTCCCAGATTGAGATATCATTAGAGGAGATTTTGGAACAAATTGATAAATTAAACAGCAATAAGTCCCCAGGACCAGATGGTATTCACCCAAGAGTTCTGAAGGAACTCAAATGCAAAATTGCAGAAATACTAACTGTAATCTGTAACCTAACATTTAAATCAGCTTCTGTACCAGATGACTGGAGGATAGCTAATGTGACACCAATTTTTAAAAGGGCTCCAGAGGTAATCCCGGCAATTACAGGCCTGTAAGCCTGAGTTCAGTATCAGGAAAACTGGTAGAAACTATAATAAAGAACAATATTGTCAGACACATAGATTAACATAATTTGTTGAGGAAGAGTC